TCGTACCTACTTACGTTTTTTTTTTTTTTTTTACATCCAAAGGCACCGCTCGTTCACCTTACACTTCTGCGCGTCTACTTTTTCCAAGAGGCTTTCCGAAAAACCTCCCTCATCGATCACCCCATCACGCAGTTGAAAGTAGTACGGCCAATTGAGTCCCTCAATCATCGCGCAATACTCCGTCGTGGAGTCGTCGCCTTTTTCGTTGGAGACACGAGAAATATCTACGGTGATGTACACTGGCGATTCCGGTGTGGCATTGGTCGGCCGTGAGAAAACGAAGCGATAGACTCCTGGAGTTGATGGTTGCTGTGAGGCCGTGAAGTTGTACCGTAAACCCTGCTGGTAAAACGCTGCTGACAAACGTTGCAGCTCGTTCAGCTCCATCTCGTGTCACGCTCAGCCACGCAACAGTCTAAAAAAAGAAGAGAAAGGCGAGAAGGAAAAAAAAATGAGAAGAGGAGGGGAAAGAAGTGTTTGAAAAGAGGACTATTACGAAAATGGAACCGTCCAGTGATGTGTGTGCACAACAACGTGGAGCAGCGCCACACGTGACAGCCAATAACGTTACATTCTGTGGAAAACGCAGGCACATAAAACAACAAACAACACAAAAGATGGGAGTTGGAGATGAAACCAACATGCACACTAACGCGCGACACGTGAGCAACCGCGTTGCTTACGCGAGAGGCATCTCACGTCCCAGTCGAGTTGACGTCTCTCATTTTGTGTGAAGCAAACAGCCAGCCTCTTGCTGACCGCATACGATGTTTCCGCAAGGAACTGTCGGTATACACATAAACTCAGCTCTGACAGCCGCACCGAACCAAGTTCTACGGCAGCCTCCAAGAGCATGCCAGCTATGGAAATGCCACGCTCATTGTGTTCCCCAGGAATGCTTAGACTTTTGTGAAGAGCACCGCGAAGAAGCAGATCCTCAATGACAAAGCCGACCTCGGAGAGTATTGGATCACCTACAATAACACAGAGGCAGAGCCCACGCAGAAATGGGACCCACGCCGCCGGATCCACGCCCTGTGAGTGACATTCCTGCACGACGGGGGATTTCTCCGCATCGTGGGTGGCAAGAAGTTGTTGAAGCATCTCAGAAAAGAAGGGAGACCTTTCGACTCCAAAAAAATGCGAAAACATTTCTGGGTGGCGAATGAGTGTCGCGGGGTGCACAAAGAACCCGCGGGCGTCCACGTTGAGCTCCAGAAACCCGCGATCACGTGCCTCGTGAAAGAGTAAGTGTGTGCTCAAAAGACTGTAGGCATACGTGTCAGGACGATAAAAAGACGAGATCCGTCGCAACGCCTCTTCTGTCGTCATTAAGCGTGACGAAACAGAAGAAGAGGAAAATGGGAAGCACAACGCCGTTGTGTCAACCTCAGAGAAACTGTCCCCCTCATGCCTGGTCTCCTTCGCGAGAGAAGCCCCATGGACCCACGCGGCACGGCCAACCTTTTCAATTCTGTGAAGAAGTGACCCACATCTATGCATGCACAAACCGCGTCTTGTGTGGCGGTGCGCCCCTCCTCAGACGCAGCAAAAGAAGAAGAAGAAGGCAAAGAAAACGTCACCGGCGAAGGGCAAAGTGTGTCAAGAAGCGAGAAGAGACAAGTGACCCACAGGCTACAATTATCGTGGCAACGCATTATACATATTGATTGCCTGTAGGAAGTGGAAATAACATTTCCAAATGTGCCGCCTTCCTGCTCCACGAAATTGGCAACCCACCCCACCATGCACCTCGACAGTGACGTACAGAGGGGCGTAGGCAGAGTAAGGGTGAGTAGCCGTTCAATCACTCCATGGTATTTTCCAACAGTGTAGCAATGGACTGCATACCACTCAAGTGACAATATTCGCGTAAATGGTTTCGCTGCTCCTCCGATGTCAGTCGCGCCAAAGACACCTTCATGTCCTCATAGAGAATGGTGTGTGCCACAGTTTTCCCTCTAGCCATAACAAGCAACAGAGCATCCCATGCCCGAAGGTCCCGCTCCAAGAAGCCACAGCCCGCAAAGAGTCGCGTAAGAAAATTATTGATGTCGTGCGTTATCCTACGTATGAGTTCATCACGCCACAGTCCCAACCGCTCAAGGGGTTCCAAAGTAATCTCCACCCCATTACGGACTCCACAGCACTGCTCCTGCCATTCCTCCGCCGCAGAATACATGGCATGCACACAGATAAGTACCTCAAGCGAGACTTCAATCACAACCAAAGTCGACTTACTTGACTCTATGGTCGCCTCAAGACGAGCTACAAATGCTGACAGACATGGTGCGATGGTGCGTTCCCAGAGGCTCACCGCGTAGGTAGGGAGAAGTGAAAACACAACGGCCAAACGTCGAATGACCGCCTCCAGACACCGCAACATGTGGTGTGAGCCGCAAACGGTGGTGAATGCCCGCAGAGACTCCACGGCAAGAAACTCCCGCCGCCACAATGCACGTGCACCCGTGGTAAACGCTCGTTCGGCGGTAACTCGTGCCGTCTCTAAAAAGATGCAAAATACGGAAGGAAACAAAATACTCTCTGCTAGTAGCAGCTGCGCCCCACTGTGAAGGACTCCTCTTGCCCGATCCAAAAAGTCAGTAAAACAATTCACGCCATGCACCGTAAAGTCTCTGGCAGCGAGGAATTTGGATCCCTCGTACCAGCCGTAGACACTACAAAAGACAGAAACTGCAATTGAGGCCAAGGACACACCACCAAGGGCTATTAGAGAAACAGGATCATGCGCATTCAGCCTGGGCGAAACCCATCCATGTGCGCGAGTGTCAATACTGTAGCGCTCATACAACTGCAAGAGAAATGAAAAGAAGTGTTGGGACTCTTCACGCCGTGCAGTCTTCTTCCCTTCCTTAAAGTGAAAGGCCAACTCCTTCGCCAGCGGTTCCACCTCAGACACCAGAAAAGGGCGCAGAAGTTTATCAAGCTCCGTGCCCCAGTCGTGGCGTCGCAGCCACATGACGATCTCCTTCTCAGTAGCCCCGAATAGATGAACTTGAAGCAAGTGGGATACAGCATGGGCGTAGAAACCTCTTGCACACGAGAGTTGCTTTTCAGAAACGTGTTCTTTAGCATCAAGAAATTCTAGCAATGGCAACAATGCCTGCGTGGCAGGTCCCACGAGTGACTTTAGCGAATCTCGCGCCTCACTATGGTATTTTCGCCCAGAACCAATACCACGCAAAAACATATTCCACTCTTCCTCTGCCACAGACCAGTCAGTTGCATCAGAGGTACTGCTTAACGCACACTCCAGCAACTCTGTCACTGCGGGGGCCTTTGCGTGCTCCCCACACCTATGTGTCCTCCCACGACGCTGCACACTTAACTCAGGCTCCCCGTGCGCAATCCCGCTGAGAATGTGCGGCAGACAACCTGCAACGCAAGCACTTCGGTCAGAAATAAGTGCATGAACGAGTGCCTCCAGAACATTCTCTTCAATCCGCAGAGAATCAAGACCCTCCGGCATCCTTCTGCTTTTCTTTCGCAAAGGTAAAAAAAAAAAAAAACTAGCCCTGCCAACGCCCTCTGCTAACATGAAAAATCAATGATTGGCACCGTTAGCATTAGTCAATCAGAACGAGAATGAAAGAAAGAAGACAGAGGTAGAAGAAATAGACTGCAGCAAGGCATCTCACATCCTTGCCAGCAACCACGTCTCCCAAACGGCCGCAAAAGAAAAAAAACTCACGAAAAAACTTCTCTGAAGTTCTTATTTCTCATGGTTTGCGGCAGCAGTGACAAAGACAACATCCTCAAGGAAGAAAAAGGGGTGCTAATAAATAAAAAAGACGGCATCAACAAAACGAAGGGAAAAAGTGGGGAAAAAAAGGTCAGAAAAGACTGTAATAAATGACAGATCCAATGTAATGGAAACATCTCTCATCCTTCCCCCACACTTTTTTTTTTGTTCGTTTCCCCTCTCTTTGGGGAGTAAAGAGTCCTACTTACCATGATAAAAGTGATAACAACAACAAAAAAAGGCTTCACTCATGTTCTTCGTGTGCAGCTCATTACCTCAATTCCCCACTCTTTCACCGTCACAGCCCCTTTCAGGTGAGAAAGGTCAGTATCTGCCACGTCAATCATTCCTGTACTCACGCAACAACACAGCCTACATGAGCTTTGTCTGTCTCTGTTACTCCTACTGCGCAGCTACTAAATATATTTCCTTCCCCTATACTGTGGTTAATATGGGTTCTTGCGGTCTTCATCGTTGCGGCGGAATTTGTACGGTCTGTAACTGAGATGGTTCTCCACCAGAAAGAGATTCCTTCGGCGCTGCCCGTACCATGTGCCAAGCTGATACATGGGCGTCCACCACGGCAAGTACCACGGTGAGAGCCACCGCTCCTTGACGTGAAGCCAGTTGTCAACGTAGTACTGGTAGTCGGCGTAAAGCGTCAGCGCCTTCAGATTGGGGCGGAAGTGATCTACGGGATTGGACCAAAAGTCTGACAGATGCTCAACTTCCACGGGCATTACCAACGTTTACCGACCCACGCGTCTTGTGTTTTACTTCTTCTCTTTCGTTCCGTTTCGGAGCGGTTGTCGTGACGGGTCTCACTCTCTAGTTATTTTCCGTTTTCTGCTGTTTTCGGGTTTCTAAAGAAAATGTGTGAAAAAGAAAATAATACAAACAAATAAACAAAAAAGGAACGATTCCATTAACAAACTTCTCACGCCACATACACCGCCCGCAGTTGAGGTTGGCTGCGGAAGGCGCAGTAGCGACAACGCATGTGTGGTAACATGGGAGGTGGACAGCGGGAGCATTGCATTGTTAAGGGGCCGCCATGGGCCATTCATTTCTTTTGCCTTTCAGTTTGTTTTTATAACTCCACGTGCAGCAGATAAGTGTTTGTTTTTACTAAAAAAAAATTTTGTTTTCTTCTTTGCGGTTTTTTTTCTGCCTCTTTTTTTTTTCCTTTTTCTATCTCGTTTTCGTTTTTTTTTACTTGATTTTCTGTGGCCTTTCTTTTTTACTTCTTGCCCCGCTCATTCTCTTTGGTTTCCTTGTCATTTGTTGTTGCTGGCCTTTTGGCGCCCGCGGTGTCTTTTTCCCGCCCATCCCCACGGGAAATGAAGCAGAAGGCAAGGCTTAGTTGTGGCCCTTCACCGTATGTGAGAGTGGCGTGGACGGGAATGCGGTGTTTTTTCCGGAAGCAAACGACGCAAAGGTGTGCGCACTTCCGCCCGGTATCGTCGTGCTGCTGGGCGTTGCCGCTGCCGACGCATCTTCACACAACCCGTACAGCACACCGTTGCTGCCTATGGGAGGGTTGCCGCCAAAGCAATCCCGGAGCAGCTTAAAGTAGCAGTGACCAGTGAGGAGGGAGTCGCTGCCCGCCTGATGCGCCATGCCAAATCGGCGCACTCGGAGACTCGCCGAGAGGTGATCTAAACCGAGGGAGTGCGAGAGATCCGTGGAACGCAGGAGGTACTTAATGTCATACACACATGGAAACAGTGAGTGAAATATCTGTAAGAAGTCTTCCTCCTTCTCCGGAAGGTCCTTGCCGCATACCACCTTCATCAGATACCCAAAGTCGTAGCCAGCCTGAAACGCGAGCCAGCGAATGTCGCTGCTGAGGATGAGACCACTCGAGATGAGCAGTTCGGCAAAATGCGACACCTCAACTCCGTACTGCGCAAAATAGTCAAAATCAATGCCGCCGTGACGAAGCAATTGGATACTGTCCTGTGCATACACGTCCTCAGTGAGGCAGAAACGGAAGTTGAACTGCCAGGTGCAGCAGTTTTCGGGAACCTCCCCCTTTTCATTAAGCAGCGTAATTCCTAGCTGAATCATCTTAAGCATATTTACATTACAGCGAAGAGTTTGATAATAAAACTCGTGAGTGGCCTTAAAATTGCCAACAGGTTTCGCTACCACTCCTGGGAATTCCGTATCCATGGACACATATGGGTAGTCCTTGATGAGGGACCGAATAACGCTGAACTCCTCCTCTAAGTTTTCCTCCCATACATCGCGAATCATTGGTGACTTACTAAGGGAAGGAATAGAAGCAATCCCACCTTGGCTAACGGCAACCGGGTAGCGTTGTTGATACCCCCCAAACTGTGCTACAGCACCACCAAACTGCATCATTCTTTTTTTCTTCTTATTCTTACTTGCCTCCCCCCGCTCCCTCTGTGACGAAGGAAGTGAAGAGTTTCCAAAGTCCTCTCACCAATGGCAGAAACCCAACTCCTTCCTTACCAATCTCGTTCCTTTTATTATTTATAAATTATTATTATTTTCTGTAGTTCTTCGTCCAGGTTGTACTCGTGCAAATCTACGTCCACACAGAAAACAAATAAGAAGAAAAAAAAACCACTAAAACCGCAGTCAAGACATACTACTGGTACAAATAAAAAAACTTAAAGTGTAACGCTGTCATGCGAAAAAGTGTAAAAACTCCAGAAGGCCTCATCACACGTCTGATGTGCTCCACAGGTCACTCAAAAGAATGCTTGCGCAACATGTAAACGGTAACGATAACAATCAACCGTGTCAGCCACTCCGTCAGTCCTCTAGCAGTGACAAGGCAGTCTGCAAGGAAAGCACACAGGCATCGTGGCAGCCACGCTGCTGCTTCGCATCAACATTCGTCACACCTCATCCGTCATCGCCTGCTGTTACATGGTGGTGGGAGCTGCATGGGGTAGGCCCATTAACAGACTCATTGCGTGGAGCCGCTCAAGGAGAGCTGTATTCACGCTGGCATTCCGCGTGAAGCTCATCAACGCGTCTTACTCTCAGTGACTAGAAACCCTCAATACCTCCAGCACCACCTGCTGCATGGCGCTCAGCAAAGACGGTGTCTGCCGACTCTCCTTTCCACTCTCCCTAAAGTAAAGCATGGCTCGGGAGACTACCACACCAATGACACTCGTGAAACTACGCAACAGGAAAGTGTACTAGGCCATGGATTGAATCCGCCTGTCCTCAAAAGTCTCAAATCGCACAACGAGCTCCATTGTCGCCGCGCATACTTTATCCATTGAGGCCTCCCCAACATGGTTCTCCAGTACCAGCTTAATACCCGTCCTTTGAAGCCGCCTATACGCCTCATGCAAATCATCCTATGACCTCATAAACGACTCAAAGGAATAAAGTTGCTGCGTGCGTTGCAGCAACGCTTCGCGCATGAGCGTCCCCCCCCCCCCCTCCCCCTCAGCCTGCATCGCCTGGCCGCACTCCTCCAGAAGGTAGTTGAAACCCAGAGGGAAGATCGCGGCACTGGGCGAGCTGCGTGTCGCGACCTGCTGTTTTTGCCCTCCAAGGCATGCAGACGCTTCGGCAGCAGAGCAACACGCCGACCGCGGACGACTTCGGTTGCTGGCGGGGGGGGGGGGGGGTACTGCCGTGGTGGCTGCGGCAGTAACTGCAACTCCCTCTCCTTGTCAGCCGTGGCACCGCGGTAGATCTAGAGTCGAGCCAGCAACGCCCTCGTGAACGCCGTTCATTTGCTGCGGCACATATGAAATTGCAGCGTAAGTACGCCCAAGGCAGACATGAACGAAAAGACTGACAACAACAACAACAACAAGTGATCAAACTGCAAACCACAGCCGGGACAAAATCGCACAATACACATTTTCACCGTTCTAGTAAGATGTGTGGCCGACATCGTTGAAGAGGGTGGAGTCAAAACGTGCCGTCCGGATTCACCCACGCCATACGAAGCCGTGCCGCTCTGTTAGCGTGCGCTGACCGCTCTACGAGGTGCATGCGCGCAAGTTCACGCAGACCCGGGGGAATATTGCTCTCTTCTAAGCTCTGCAACTCCGCTACCCCTGCTTCTTCCTCCCGTACTGAGGCACGAATTGTCTTGGCAGCCCCGCCACGAGGTGCTCCATTCCGGCTCGCCTTCTCCAGCGCGTCCACCTCACGTAGCAGGCCCTGGACAGATGTCATTAAATCTTGTAGGCCTTGCTCGTTGCTTGAGGTGTGCGTTGGATCCACCCCGCTACCCGCAGCATTATCCCCACCGCCGCTACTGTTGGTATTGGTAGCGCGAACAGCGTGGGTAAGGGCGTGGAAGAACTGTTGCGGGTCGTCCTCCCGCACCAGCGCACGAAGAAGAGGAATGACAGCGCTACATCCTTCGTCCCGACGGGCGCGCCTCGCCACACAATACATGATGTCCGCCTCCTCCGCCTCGCTAAAGACGGTCCGTGGCAGACCCCGAAACTCTGGAAGGAGTTCGTTTTTTTTTGTACGAAGCAGCACAAAGAGGAGGTGCTCTATGCTGCCGTCGCGCGCCAAAAATAAGGCGAGGGCCCTCACAGTTTTAGGACCGCAGCGCAGACCTTTTTCACGCGCGTACACTTCCACCGCCAGCGACAGCGTTCGCTCTGAAAGTGATACGCCAAGAGTTCCCGCAGCACGTATCACCTCCCACTTTTTCACGTGACTTAACGTCAGTGCGTAAAAGACAAACATGCCGTGGGCTGCCACAGTGTCGCTGCGGTACTCCGTCTGAAGACGTCCACCCAGACGACGCTGCAGCAGCATCCCCTTCGCGGAGTGCCACACCGCAGAGTGTTCGGCTGCGACGGGATTCACAGAGGGGTGCTGCATGAGAGAAAACACAGTATCATCAAATGGGACGTCATGGTCGGCCATGTGTTTGGCGTAAGCCAAGGCATCATCCACCCTCCCACTGGCTGCACAACAATACACCCAAGCTGACAAAACCTCGGATGACATGGTTTGTTGTTGTTCTAGCCGTCGAAAGAGTAAATGACATGTTGTGAAGTAGTGTGGGTCAATAATGCACTGGTATGCCGCCATGCATAGCAGCGCCCGCAGCAGTGTAGGTGGTAACGCAAATTGCTCCTCGGGCGGGCTCTGCAGCGATGCAAATGTCCGGCATTTCATAAAATCCTCGTACACAACGTGCGGAAGTGGTGCGTCACCTGCCTTCAGTAGCGTTTTAAACAAAAAGAAGTAATTATGTTCCATGATGTACCGAAGAACGTCGTGGTAGGGCAGGTGTTCAGCGATTTGCTCCAGCCCCTCGTGCATTGGTGAGTTCCAGAGTTCCTCTTTGCTCGGCAGGTACACACTGTTACGCACCAGCGGCTTACACGCAGGCAATTCATGTTGCAGCCACGTCTTGTTGAACGTCCCACTGCGTTCAACTTCAAAGCGGGGTGACGTGGGCAACGCGTACGGCGGATCCGGCAGTTTGGCGCCCTTCTCACGAACGCAAAAAAAGTACTTCGGGGATACGTCTTCGCCTAGGCGGAGGTGCGCTCGGTGTAGGCGTCGCATACACACGCACGCAGAGCCTCCTCTGACTCCGCATGGCGACGACACAAAATGCAACAAAGAAATAAAACAAAAGCCACAATTGTTCCACAAAGAAAAAATACAGAGACAACGACACCCCCTTCCCCCTCGTGTGCTGTGGCAGACGTCTTCACTCGCACCCACTGGGCAAGTAAAGAGAGGGAAATAGACAAAGATAAGCCACCAACGCTACATCAGCGTTACAAATATATATAACGACACGTCACCTCAAAAAAAAAAAAAAAAAAAACGTGCACATGCGCACGTATGAAAACAGGTCACACAAGCGACGCCTCGTCCCCACCCCACACAGCCCCAGAGAAGAGCGCGGCGCCAAAGCGAATAGGGGAGCCTAGCTTCGCTGGGAAGGGCTCCGCATAAACTCGTACAACTCTTTCGTCGAGCGCATGCGAAAAAGCTGCAGTTGGAATTGTTCTGCCGCCTTCGTGACGCGGATCCTCTCCTCCACGCTGTTCACATGAGTCACCTTTATTGACCCGCCGTGACTACGATAGGTGTAGCACTCCTGAAGGACAAAGACAACCGCATTTTTGTCCTCCTCCGAGTCAAACATGAGTGATATCGGTGGCTGCGGAGGACCCGCAGCGACGACTACGCCCAACTCCACCCCAGGGCCCACGTAGAGTTCGGTCATGTACTCCATCGCCGCGCACCGGATGATGTTTCTCCCGCATGGACCGGGTCCATTTTCCTTCGCAACGAAAAAACAAGTGGCCGTCACCCAGGCACACCGCCGCTTCTTCGTGGAGCCCTTCCAACTCTTCGCTAACTCCGTAACGAAGCCAAACCAATGTAGAATCTTATGAGCAATTGGCGCAAAAATACCTACGAATTGTCCCGTTATGTTGACAATACGGAGACCTGTGCGAGGGTCCTCGACGAGCCTCCAGCTGTGACTATTCTTGTCAATCAGATGCATCTCCTTCTTGAATACTTTTGCCTGATCAAAGGTAGAGCGCAACACCTTCACGCAGACCTTCCAAAACGCTGCAATCCTCTTCAAAATGTCCACCAGTCGCTCCGTCTGCTGTGGTACCTGTAGGAACAGGTCAAACGCATCCAACGTCCTCAGACCCAGCGCAAGGTCGCCAAAAACGTGTATTTCATGCAGCCGTTGGATGTCAATGCAGACAATGACAGCCCCTGTCTGCACATTACCAATGTACAAACAATTTGGGGTAACAAAGCAAGCGACAAGGGTCTTTTTGCTGCCGAAAAACCCCTTAAATAACGACGTCACCACCCCTGCAAAAAACACACGTCGACCCATTTTGGCGCCAAATAAATCACATAAGTTCCGCCCCAACGGAAGGCAGGTGATGTTGAAGCGCGCATCGTGCAACTGCGCTTGTTGCCTTCTCTCGTTATTGTCGCTATAGTAGTCGTCAATTCCAACCTGCCTCACACGCTGCACGGGTTCATCACTGTACGTGGTGTGAATCTCAAGTGCCTCCGCCTCACCCTCATGAAACACGGGAAAGTCTGAAGCGGCATCCCCAGTCCGCCGAAACGTCGTTGTTGTCATGGGCCCAAGCGGCACAGAAACAATTTCAGGCACTGTGGCCTTCCCCGACGCCCCAGGAGAGAGTGTGTCCATGGGCGCAGGCCCCTTTTCCTCAAACATAGTTGTCCCCGCATCACCGCGTCGGATGTCAAGAACAATGTCTTTGCCCTCCGCCAGCCGCCGCCGATCCTCCTCGTACGCCCTCTCCCAGTCATCCATTTCGCTGCTTTTTCCTTCACAAATAGCCGATACCTCCACACGTTGTGAAACACATTCAATAGAAAGAAAGAACAAAATAAGGCAATAGTAAGAATGAAACGCACAAAGACAAATTCATACATACTTCTTCAGACATATAATCCAATTGGTGGGCTTTCGCTTCTCTCCCTCAATTCTCTTTCTCTAGTCATTTTACATCATTTCATGGAGAGCATCATTTACATCCGTGCCACACACATCTACCGCATGTGGCTGTCCTCAAGCTTCCCTATCACCTTAAAGGACCACTGCATATCCTCTGTGTCAACAATAAGCGTCCCCTCCACCTGCGGCAGACGTGCCGAGGGGGCGAACCGCACCTGCAGTGGCGTCGCGTTCCCTGGGCTCCGCTGACCTACCAAAAACGGATGCAGCACCCCACGGGTGTTTATCACAGACAAATCCCGCGAGCTTTCGGGAGTAAAATAGGCACTGAAGGGAGAACTGTGCGGAAACACATTATACATGGCAAATGTGACGGCGGATACGGTGCGGGGGGCCGCCTTAATAGTCACCACATCGTCCACCTCCGCGCGTACAGCATCCAAAACGACGGAATACCGCCAAACCGCACCCTTGTCAGAGCGAACAACAAGGTCAGCCGTGGCAAGGAAAGGACGCAAAGGAGCAAAGCGCACATTCACAGTGAGCAACCCACCTGCTCTTTTAGAGGCGTCCAAACTAGTTTGAAAACTTGACTCCACGGCACTCGCGTACTGCTGCTGACGTTCCAATTCCAACACCATGGAGATGTCCTTTTCCTCTTCTGTGAGTCCCGATGGGTTCAACGTAATGGTTTCCTCCATCTGACGTCGTGCCACACAACGGAACCGCAGAGGCGCGTCACGGCAACGCCATTCCGCCACACCTCTCAGAGGAAACCTCCATGTAACATCTTGCACCTCCTTTGTCAAAGACTCGGGACGCACAAGGACGGTTGCCTCATGGTGACCAACAGACCTGGGCGTGTAGATCAGTGAAATGGCAGTCTCCGCACCTGGGGCGATGCATGGCATCTGCGTCATTGTAGTCAAGGCGTAATAGCCCTCCTTGTCGCTGGCGAGTGCGACGTTGGGAATCATAGGAGCATCGAATGGATTCTTGATCTTGAGCGTAACTGACACCTTTCCCCCTACCTCACACACGCACTCAACTGGCAAACTCTCCGCAGGCTGCAGGCCCACACCGCGGCAGAGATATCGCCACTCGCCAAGATCTGGATTGTATAACTTAAGGATCGACTCCTGGGGCTTCTCTACGGCAGTGGGCGTATACACAATATCAACGGTCAGCTCGGAGTAGGGTGGAATCATCAGAAGAGCTGGCGCGGTGGAGAAGTTACGAGAATTAGTGTTGGAGACGTAAAGATTCCGTTCAACGGCGGTGTTGTTAGGTATTCGGACTTGCCGTACATCTGGAACACCAATCTCACTTTCAAAGGCTATTTCCTCTGAAGCCGCCTCTTCCACAATAATATGAAGTTCGTACCAGAACTCGCCTGCTTCGTCACTGTAGAATGCGAGACGCCCGTCAAAGGATCCAATTTGGGACGGAACAAATAGCAAAGAGTAAACTGCAGGGTCACCTGCCTCCACAAGCAAGGAATTCTCACCAAAGAGACCCGGACCGAAGCCACGCACATTAAACACAAGGGCCTTGTCAGTCGTGTTATGGATACTCACATCAGCTGTCACAGGAGTGCGTGTATCTGTCCTTATTTCAACCGTACCCTCCTTCTCAGGGGGACTGACATTAACCGTTACAGCGTACCAGGCATATCGTCCATTGGGGGCACGGCAAACAACAGTCCCAGAATAGGTGCCACCCATCATAGGATGCAGCACAAGCAAGTACCTTGCGGTGGATCCCCTGTGCACGAGCACAGACGACCCCCCTCGTGCAAAAGGAAGATCTGTCTCTACATGATACGTGGCATCCACACCATTGACGTCAGGCACGATCAATGGCACGGTATGACGTTCGCGTGCCCGGCACTCAATAATAAGTACATCCTCTGACAAGGGCTCCTCCGCCTCGCCAATTAGGGTGTATGTACAACGTTCCCCTGTCTCGTTGTTGAACAAAGTTAGATTTCCCTTCGCAGAAGAGATCCATGCAGGGCTGTAACGCAGTAGATACTCGCGTTGCTTCCCACGTGGGACACACAACTCTTTTGGTCCACTGAAGCCTGGACCTTCCACGGTGGCCGTGATAAGCCAATTCTCATTGCTTTTGTTATTGAGATGCAAACCCTGGGTGATACATTGTCTTGCAGGGCAGGCAAAACGAATAACGCCTTTTTCCCCAGTTGGAACACACTTCCCAGTCACTTGAATGCTGCGCACATCGTACTTTGAAGCAAGCAGAATATAACCATTGTACTCACCAAGTTGTTTAGGTAAAAATGAAAAACTAAGTGGTACCATTGACTCACCTGACACAAAGGTAATACTCTCAGGCCCGCGGTAAAACGGATTCGGTCCAATGTTGGTTTCATTTACAAATGTCACAGTGTAAGGCACGCCCACAAGGTCGGGCATAAGGAAAGTTTTCGCTGAGTGTGAGACAGGGGTGCGGCGATGCTCCCCAAGTGAACGCAACATTCGCTCAAACGGCACATTCTGAATCTTCACCAAGAACGTGTGCGTGCACTCCTCCCCGGACTCGGCCCGGACGCTCACTTTATCCGTCACTTTTGGTGATGTGCAGGTGCCAACGACAAGGTAGGAGAATTCACCTTTCTGTTCGTCATGAAACGTGATGCGCGCCTCGTATGTGCCGCGGGCGCAGGGGACAAACTGTATCATCACCTTTGTTTTCTCGCCGCGGTGGAATGGAACGACGCCGGCGGAGATGTTGAAGGCGTTATGCAGGGTTTTACCAAAATCCCCCTCAGGATACGCAGCGTCATTCTTGTACTCCTGAGCAAAGCGTAAGGTGGCAACACAACTCTCTTGGAAAGGGCTCTCCACAAGCATCTCATACTGTAGTGCAGTGTAAAGCGGCGTCTGAATATGTACGACACGCAGCGGTTCATCGTTGGGCATGGCAGCAAGACGAAACACCATGGGTGCACGCTCCTCCATGAGGCATGCAGAAGTATCCACAACTACGCACTCCCCTTCCACACGACGATTAAAACGCAACGTCACCTCCACACTAAGTTGTACCACACCCCCAGCATCGACGCTAAATTCCCGCGGCAAAGCGCGAAAGGCGGGGTTGTCCATTTCCACAGTGTAAACACGTTCAGTGTTCGATGTGTTCGCCACCTCCACTGACCGTGACATTGGAAACAGCAGTTTCCCCTCCAGTGAAAGAAGGGCAGATGGGATGAAGCGTGGCAAAAAAATAAAGAGCGTCACGACAAGCAGCAGCCAGTCAACTGTGTTGTACTCCAGCAGTTCACGCGGCGTGAACTGAGCAGGAAATCCAATGTACGTCAACGCACCAAGAAGCACCGCAGCATTGGTTTCCATCTCCATTTGTGTTGTGGGCTCTGCAATGAGGCGTTCCATCGGTAACAAGCGTGTAGCTGCCGAGGGTACGTATGTAAGAATGCAGGCAAGCACACCTAGGCAGTCGCGTAGGTCGTCAAACCCCCGGATGACCCTCGTCGTACTCTTCACCACCCCGGCTTTCACGCATCTGTGCATATTGTAGGACACCCACCGCAGCAGTAGGCCTTCTTCCGGGCTAAAAACATTGCTATCGCGAAGTGCCGCCTGAAACAGTGCGGAGTCCCAGTTGGAGCGAGGAAGATACTTTTTCATCGCGGGGTAAAGCTGAAGCATGGCCGTAAGATCCACCTTGGGAAGGTAAAACACACGAATAAACTGCAAAATAACTGTCACCCACGCATGATCAGCACGCACAGCAAAGACGGATGGTGGTAAAACATCCACACTTCGGCCCTCCAAAAGCGAGCAATACGCGCTGTACGACATTAAATACTGAAGGCGAACGTCACTCAAACATCCACCCTTCGACTTGATTAATGACGTCAGCAACTGAAGAGAAGCAAGTGATCTTTCCTCGCCACTGGGTTGAGCCAGCTTGCTAGGCCTCTTACCGGAGATTCGGTACGCCGCCTCAAGAAGTGGGCGTCCATCCGTTGATTGCAGCGCAGGGATAAGATCACTGACAGGCTTTTGAAAAATGCACTGGTTTAGCCACATTTGAAGATTTTCAATCGCGCGTCGTGAATACACGTCGCGTCCAACGGCATCCACAAAGCCAAATGGACCAGGTGTAAGCATCAGGTGAGACTCAACACTCCTTGCGAGTGGGTAGGAAACAGGTGCCGTGGTGGTCGAAGCAGCGGCAGCGGTGCCAGCAGGAAACACGGAAATATCATCATAGTATATGAATGGCAACAACCACTCCTCCTTCCCCTCCGTCTCCTGTTCCACTTCACTATGCCCTCCCCCTGTAGTGACGTCTTCAGCGACGCTGATGTGTGAGCGACCACGCTGAAACATAACGTAAGGGGCGGTCGTAAGGAAAGAGTTGATAGCTGTGGCGGTAACAGGAATTGTGAGTGTTTCGCCCACATCTGTTGTAAAGGTGATAGATGTTGAAAGCGAGACAGGGTTGGGAGAACAAAACTCCACACAGACTGGAATACGTGACGAGGACTTAAAGATCGCACCATGTGGGAACGTGACGCGGAGTGGACCCGCTTCTTTGTTGGAGTATCGTATTTCAATGGAGTCAAAGCCATCGTTTGCAATATACATCGTCTCTTGCACCACAACGTTAAGAGGAACAGCAGGGAAGATAAGTTCATCTCTGTCGCATACGATGCATGGCAGGGCAGCGAGCCCAGACACACGCACCTCCGCACAAGGACGTAGATGGTTTCCATCCAGGTACACACAGTAGCGTTCGTGCCGATCGCCTTCTAAGTTCGGCACAAATGTGACATGCACCAATTGACTTTTGTGAGGAGCCAAGGTGCCGCTCTCGGGATTCATCCGGAAAGGACTTGCCTCACCAGCAGTGCTCTTGTCGTCACCATTGCTGTTCTCGTCACGGGCCAAGAGCAACTCCCATCGCACCGAATCCCCAGAGACGTTCTCAATCGTGAGTGTTAATGGCACGGCAGTGGTCCCGATAACTGTGCGCGGGAATTCAAAACATTGTTGCCTGACAACTATTTTAGACACCACCGCCCGTGCAGAAATTACGAGTGGCATCAGTGGATTCATCTCATCCGTACCAATATGCCGCCACACCACAAGGAACCGCTCATCATTGCCTACGCTGGTGGGACGGTACACAACCAGCACCCCCGCCTCACTGCGGGGCGGGATGGTAACGTACACCTCACCGGGAACGGGCTCGCCGCGACCCTTCCACTCCAGCGATACCGCTCCGTCGTTTGGGCAGCGCAGCGAGTACTCTGGAAGATTGCGGAGGTCCACAAAAACAACAGCCGCCACGTCGCCACTGTTACAAAAACGCACCGGCAGTGTCTTCTCCGTTCCAATATAAACCGAGTCAAACTCCAAAAAAATTTCTCCAATGCTCCGTGAAGGTGAGATAATACTCAGCGGCGCCACGCACACCTCAGCGGTCAGGCCCAGCTTCAGCGGTCGCTTCATGCCACGCACGCAACACTGCAAAGAAGCCTGGACCAAACCTGGCGTGTCATGATGCACTGCAAGTGTAATCTCCTCCGTTTCACCCACCCCAACATGCCTACACATTGGTGTGACAGTCAGCCAATCTGGTATGGATTCAAAGGAAAATAAAGCACTGTTGCGACCCTTGTTGTGCAGCATAACCTTCGCTTTTGTCGTCGCACCGGCAGGTACCTGATTCAATTTAAGTAAACATTCACCTCCTGATGTTATACTCATGGCGCTGCCGGCGCCATCGCCGACAGCAGTAGACCATACACACAAAGTGGGGGCAATGATGCCCTTTAGATGAAGTACTCGCGTCGCCAATGCCCCTTTCACGTGCAGTTTTGCCGTCGTCTCAGCGTTGAGAACCCCTTGAGGTGGACTAAAGGTTAACTGTGCTGTTACCTTACTCATTGGGGCAATAGAGCCACTCGTCGGCTCAATCGCAAATGGACCAGTATTCAGCGACCAAGTGTAAGCCGCCTCGCTGTTCCCGTGATTAAAAAGTGTCACGGTGGCATGTGCAATAGAGTCATCAGCAAAGTCTGTGAAATTCAGCACCACGTCGTCACGTGACAAGGTCACCTCCACAGGCACAACATCTGCTTGCACTGTGAATCGCAGCATGTAACGCCCATTAATTTTGATCTGCACAATCTGCTGGTATGTCTGAACCACTGAGCTGCAGAAACTCACATCGTACGCGGCAGCACGGCCAGCTGGAATAACCTGCGAGTGTGGAGAAAAGGACACATGTGTTTCCTCCGTTGGCATCTCTGCCAACACTGCGGCGTCGGTCCCATTATACAAGAAAAACGTTTTGATTGAAGTGGAGCCTACGGTTACCCGCTGGTAGTCCATCACTTTGATAGGAGCCGCGATGCGCAGGAACTCCATTGGCTGCAACTCCCGCCGGCAATCCCGCCGCTCCATCACGTTGCTCGGAGTCTCTTTAAATACCTTCCGGATGAGTGTCTTCGCGTCCAACGAAACGGGTGAAAAATGATCGGGCCCTCGCAAGATTGAAAACCCGCCCTTAGACTTTCGTTTGTAAGTGGCGGTGGGAAGCTCCGGCTCGGGGGGCTGCAGGCCCTCCGCTGGAATCATGCCAATGTCCACTGCATCCACACTCGTCGCCGCCGCGGGACCGGCGCTGGCGCGGGGCGACTCCCGTACTAACCTGACACCCTTCTGCACGCTGACAAAATCCTCCGGCAGTTTATCCACTCCGCCAATAATCTTCGGCATTGGAACGAGTGACTTCACTACCCCTGAGAGCGTCAGGTTTTCTTTCTCCGTTTCATTGAACACAACCCTCAAATGCTCCTCAAAGACGCCCAAGCGACGTGGGCGAAATGACAAGCGAACATCGCATGAGGCCCCAGGCTTCACCTCCCCCTTGTCAGGGTCGATTAAAAAGTGTGCAACACGGGGGAATGTAAACTGCAACGGCATCTCTTTATGCCCGTTGTGCACAGTCACAGTCACGTCGCGGTAGTCATTCATGGCGCACTGACCAAAGTCCACAACAGCTTGCGAAAGCCATGCTACCGTAGTTGTGCTCGTCCCAATCACACGCACCGTGTGCGCGTGCTCCATCTCCAGAAAAAGCAGCGAGTAAAGAGTTTCATATGTGGTACTTAAAGCGTATCGATTCTCGCGGCGGCACGACCATCCGTTCGGTGAATACGAGATGGGCGGTGAAAAAACAGCAGTTACGCGTGTTATCTCGTGTGGACCGAGTCGACCCTGTCGCGGGATAAAATCAAACGGCTGCTGCTGCTGCTGCTGCTCAGCAGAGGCGTCTCCTGCAACCTGAAACGCAAAGCTCACCGTTTGTTCACTATCGTTACGCACATCCACCTCCACCACGCGTCGCGTGCCAGAGTAGGTTTTGGCAAAATTTAGCGCGTGTACCTCCGTAGCGGTGCGGGGGTCAAGTAGGAGGCCTTTGCTGTCCATCACTTCAATCTCCAGCATTACTGTCCGGTGTTCTGCCTCGCCAACCACGTCGATCCGGAGCGGCAAGCGATGGAAGCCAACATCGAGTTTCAAGAGCTCAAGGTAAACGTCAACGAAGCCCATTGGCGGGGCGACACACTGCTGCGGGTTCACCGTGACTCCAGTGGCTTGTGCTGTCATTACGATGTGCACTTGCTTCTCCCGCCGACCTTTATTCGTGAGCCGCAGCACCTTCGACAAGCCATGACGATTCCTCTCAACACGTCCAAAGTTGACCGCCTCGGGGAACTCGAGATCTGGGCTACACTTCGCCACGAGCGGCACCGTGACAGACTCATTGTTGGTGAACACAACGAAGCTGTCCTGGTAGTCCTGTGCCACATGCGTAATAAATTCGGCCTCAATCACGTGTGAAAGTCCTGGAGCGAGGCGTACTGAGGTGGTGTTGATGCTAAACACACGCTGGTTACTAGGGGGCGTAAAACGCACGGTGCACATAGAGCCTGTACCATTCCGCACAGTGAAGGGAATGGCGTATGTGGTATCGACATCAAAGTTGACGTAAAACCCCCGAGATGGGCTCACCTGAATCGCGTTTCCGTCCCTGGAAGCCATCAGAGCGCGGCGCCGTCTCCCTATCCCGTGTCGTACCGTCTGTTTGGCTTCCTTTGTTTTCCTAGCAAAAAGAAAAAAAAAAACTCAGTCACTCACAGTAACCCTGGCCTTACTTCTCTGTATTTCTCCACCCTCGTAGAAGCCGGCTCCAAACAACAGCATCAGCGAATAAGGACAGGTGCAATGCATCATGTACAAGGCAGCACTCACAGCACAAGTAGATATACTGGGTCGTTGCATCACGGTTGGTAATGCTTCTCACGAAGATGCACGCAGGCAACATTGGAAAGCTACACAGTTTAGTTCCTTTCACATTACACGATTTTCCAGGGATGTGTTTTCACACCCCCCTGTCTCTTATTTTATTACCTCACAGATGACTTTGCCGTGTTTTCCTTTCTTTGCAGGCTTGTAGTTTTTGTTCCTGTTCTTGTTGTTTTTGCTGATCATCATTCTTCTCTGCCTCTCTGTCCTTCGTCTCAGCCGCTCTCCTGTTGTTGTTGTTGTTTTTTTTTTTTTGTTTAGCCCTCTCACCCTTCTGGTTTACCTTGGCCCTCATAGTCGCAGCGGATGGGTAGTTAACTCGCTTCCTGCCGCCTCAGCAGCGACATTGGCCCAATCTGCACGCTGCGCGAGAGAACGATGCTGTGGGCAACGCGGTTACGTACAGCGGCCTCCTTCGTTCCGTTGCGCACGGGCCCCACGTGGGCCGTGATGGTCCCAAGCCCCGGCGCCGCCTCCAGGGCCCACTGAGCGTATGACGACAACACACCAAAAGCCTCCGCAATGGAGACTTCCGCTGCAGCCTCTTCGCGTGACACAACTGCCCCTTTGTCGCTGCCCAGCGTTACGATCATCATAAAGTCTGCAACGGTGCAAAGTAA